AATTAACCAAATTAAAAAAAAAAACATACAACAAAACAAAATCAGACAATCAATCACTTATTACATAACAGAACAATATGTGGTAGGTGGTGTAATTGTCAACGAAGTTAAGAGTTTTGTTTTGGGGAAGTAGTTACAACTCAGACATCGATTTGAATAATTATCACATTTAAATTATTTGGTTTAAGTAATTCGGAAGTAATTTGTTTTTACGATCTAAATAAAAGTATTTAAGTTAATTAGATTAGTAACTGTAACTAAAAGTCAATATTGCCAATTGTCGAACTGGCAAGTTAGACGTGTCTAATGGATGGAAGAAAACTCATTGCCCCATTTCTCGTTATATTGGAGTCTTTAGCAGAATTCCTGAACACTTTGACTGTAATTTGACATTTCGTATTCTTGAAGACTGATTGTAAAATGTTGTAAATTATTTATTTTTATACCCTTCAACATAGTATGGAGGGTATATTAATTTTGTCATTCCGTTTGTAACTCATCGAAATACTCATTTCCGACCCTATAAAGTATATATATTCTTGATCAGGGTAAAATTCTAAGACGATCTAGCCATGTCCGTCCGTCCGTCTGTTGTAATCACGCTATCTTCTGAAGAAATTGAGATAGGGTGCTGAAATTTTGCATAGGGTTGTCTTTTGTCTGCAGGCAGGTCAAGTTCGAAGATGGGATATATCGGTCCACGATTAGGCATAGCTCCCACATAACAGTACCCCGCAATTGTCGGTATTTTAAGGTTCTTTGGCGCGTTTTTCAACCGAATACGCTGAAATTTGGTACATTGGATTCTTATTAGGTATTTAATGTCCCTACAAAAAATTATAAATATAGGTCCACTTTTTCTGGTAGACCCCATATAACGGTACCCCCAATTTTCGGTATTTTGGGGTTCTTGAGCGCGTTTTTCAACCGAATACGCTGAAATTTTGTACATTGAGTTCTTAATAGGTTCCAAATCTCTCCACAAAATATTATGAGTATAGGTCCATTTTTTCGGATAGCCCCAATATAAGGGTACCCCCAATTTTCGGTATTTTGGGGTTCTTGAGCGCGTTTTTCAACCGAATTTGCTGCCATTTGATATTTTGTAGTCGCATATGGCAACAAATCTCCCTACCAAAAATTATTAATATTCGCCCCCTTTTTGGGATAGTCCCCATATAACCCCCTTTTTTATATTAAAATAGTTATCTGATTTGTTGCGCGTTTTGAGTTTGGTTCTAAGACCTTTTTGTAATCATTTCACCTGCGGAGGATAGAGAGATAAAAAAATTATAACGTAAGGTTCGATAATGAACTATAGCCGCATTTAGATCTAGCCCCTGATTGGAGGTTCCAGAAGGAGTGGACCGATATTCCCCATTTTCGAATTTGAACTAAGCTTGGAAGAAATAATAAGATGGGCAAAGTTCGGATGAAATCTGAAATTTTCCGAAACGGGTCTAGAACCAATATTTCGATGAGGCACATTTTCATCGCGTTAAAGTGTATACACCTTCATTAGACATAAGGCTGAGGGTATAATAATCCTTTAACAATTTCTAAAATTTTTATTATGGTTTACATAGTCGGTTTTTGGAAATGTCGGTATAGGTCCACTTTTTGGTATGTTCCCTATATTTCCATTTATAGTACCTGTCAATATATCTATGGTGGAGGGTATCCAAAGTTCGGCCCGGCCGAACTTACCGCTTTTTCACTTGTTTATTATAAATTTCTCTTTCGAGATGAGCTACATGATCGGAGTTGCAATAAAAAGGAAAGCCAGAGAGATACAACATTCCCACCACTATGCGACGCGTTTCGCCGTTAGTTAAGCGGCTCATCAGGCATATTGGGCAATGTGGCTTACAAATGTCTTTACTTGATAAATTGTATTTATGTCGACTATTGTTGCGAAATTGCATCTACGAATTAAATTCAAACGTGTCAAGGTTCGGACATTTGGCATCACACCGGAACATTCCTTTTCAGAGCAGATTTTTCTTGTAGTGACTGACTTTTTTTCCATACAGACTACAATATTTTTCTTCAATGGTATGCAACTGCATATTGTGCAACCTTAGGAAGATAAGGAAGTGGCTTTGAACGCTAAGGCACCGGACACCAACAGATGCCATGGGAACCAGGGTTCAAATCCCAGCCGGGCTCAAGCTGAATTTTTGAGTTTTATGCCTTTTTAGGGCGAGGGATCATTCATGTAAATGTTTTTTTTTTATTATTATTAATTTCTCTTTCGAGATGAGCTACATGATCGGAGTTGCAATGAAAAGGAAAGCCAGAGAGATACTACATTCACACCACTATGCGACGCGTTTCGCCGTTGGTTAAGCGGCTCATCAGGCATATTGGGCAATGTGGCTTACAAATGTCTTTACTTGATAAGTTGTATTTATGTCGACTATTGTTGCGAAATTGCATCTACGAATTAAATTCAAACGTGTCAAGGTTCGGACATTGGGCATCACACCGGAACATTCCTGTTTAGAGCAGATTTTTCTTGTAGTGACTGACTTTTTTTTGTAAGTTTGTATTTTAATTATGATTTGACTCGAAATTATAACATACAAATAATCTGACTGTCATTTTGAACATTGTGTACATTTATCATTAACCCCACATATATGAAAAAATATGTATTAAATATGATCTAAGTTTCTTGATAAATATCATCATCATTAACATTTAGTATTATTTATTATTTACTTATAACAACATGACAACTGGCGATCACATTTCAACGCCCGTATGTTTATATTAATATACTCGTAAATCATTTCACATTACCAATGTAGCAGGCAATTGACCTACGCAAAAAGTCAGTGACCTTTAACAAATGTAGTTATTCGTTTGTTTTTTTTTTTTTTGTAACATAGACTAATTAGAAACATATCTTCAATATTAATAAAAATTAAATAAAAACACGTTTTTTAAATTTGTTTGGTCACCTGAATTATGTGAATTTTTAAAAATGGTATACTTCCCATATTTAAGTTCAAATTCAATTTACTGGACTTTCTTCTTGAATCACGAATTAAATGTTTTTCTTCTCTTTTGTCATAAAATTTCATAATTCTTTGATTTGAGGTAATAAAATAAAGAGTGTTGAAGAAAACACCTTTTTGGCGGTATGTCCACAACGTAACGTGTATCACGTTCCTTTAGCAGTACTCCGGTAGGAGTACGTCTGTTGATATGCGAAAATGCAAATAAATAGTGTTTTGCATACAAAATCTAAATAATGTTTTAAATATATAACGTAAAGGCATACAGTGTTCTTCATATTTATTAAGACACCTTAAATTTGGCTATTGTTTATGAGTATGGGTTTTTTAGAATGGGCGTATTAAAAGGTAAAATTAAAATGGTCATCAAGCTGAGGAATCTCTATGAATAGTGTCCCGAAGTCGGGGTTTTTGCATTTTATGAATTCAATTCATAAATTTAAATCAGAGTTGAACAGAACTAAATTGAGAGTAAGTGTGCAAGAGCGAAAGTGAGAGATAGTCATCACCGCTATCGTACTATTTTAAGCATTAGTGCTTTAAATACTGGTTTTTTTATAGAGAGAGAGAGAGAGTGCGCGTTTCTATGAGCACATTAAACTCTTTGTCGTTTTTATTCTTCTTTCTTTTGATTTTACGTTTGCTTCATCTCTGTTATGTCTTGTTTCTTCTTTGATTTATCATTTATATCGAAATAATTTGGAAAATTCATATGCGAATTTTATAACACCAATGCAGAGGTCGGTACGAATATCTGAAATAATGAAACAATGGAATGCAAAACAAACAAAAAAAAAAAAAAACAATCGATTGAGTAGAAAGTCGGCAGTTGTTAAGATCTTAAATAGTAGTCAAATAAACGGTTGCAAAAATAACAAACCCAAGTAAGGGGGAGATGGAGAACGATACCAAAACAAAACACAGCCGAACAATGAATTGTGGTTGTGTTGGTGGTGTTTTTTCTTTCTTGGAAGGAATACATTTGTTTTGTATGGAAAATCATTTATATTGTTTAATAATAAGTTGAAAATTTTGATAATAATATGGACATCTTATGAAATGTCATTTATCAGATAATGTTCAGTCCTTGTAATAAATGCATTGGACCTTTACACGGTGAGATGAAAAAAACTGCAACGAACTTTAAACAAAATGATCGTGTTTACTTGCCAAAGAGGTCGACTGAAAATGTGCACCTTCGGTTGGCCACCAGAACGCCGGCCATGGTGATGGTGTGGACCGCCATAACAGCCGATGGTCGGTCTCCGCTCGTATCAATCGAATATATGGGGAAAATATTCTAGAGGGTGTATTAAAACCTTGGGCACGCAAACATTTTGGCCGCAGACCTTGGACATTCCAACAGGACTCAGCACCATCGCACTCAGCGCGCAAGCACCTAAGAATGGTTACAAAATGAGGTTTCTCGCTTCATTTCCAGAGTACAATGGCCACCAAAATCTCCGGATACCAATCCGTTGGACTATTGTGTCTGGAGTATTATGGAAAGCAAGGTTGGCAATAAAAATACCAAAGTTTTAATAACCTCAAGCAAGCGCTTCGCCGGGTGTGGGCCAAAATACCTTTGGCCTTCATAATTCGTGCCAAAAATGGCCATTTCGAACAAATCTAAACTTATTCTAAAATTTGATGCTATTTCCGACATTTGTTGCTTTCATCCAATAAAATTATAAACCAGTAACGGAGCAGTATAGACGGACTGGCCGACCATATGATACCCTACACAACTTCCACGAAAAACTAACTTTCTGTGGATCTATATTCTGAGCTTGGGCAATATTTCGCGATATTTGAACCATATGGACCAACTAGAGGTCGCGTCTATATCCTTCAGGGGTAAATCTATACGCTATAGAATACAAATGTTCTATGTAAAAATTCGCCATGTTTGGGTCATAATTGCGGCCTCTAGAGCGACCAGAAAACCGGATAAAAATTAAGTATTTTGTCCATTTCATCCCCTAGATGTTAACCGATTTTTACCAAAAACAATAGGTGTCTTCATTTGCCAGAACCCATTCTACATGCAACATTTCGTGAAGATTGGTGCATAGCTGTGGCCTGTATCGTGTTTACAAAATATAATGGACGGACGGACACACATGTCTAGATCGACTTAGCTAGTCGAGATATGACGATCGGTATACCTAAAGGTGGGTCTAGGACCAATATTTCGCGGCGTTACAAACTTTTGGGGTTGCACAAAGCTATAATACCCTGACAACATAGTTGTGTAGGGTATACAAATGTAAAAACCAGTGAGCGGAGCAGTATAGTCGGACGAGGCCGACCATATAATACCCTACACAACTTCCATGAACATCTTACTTTCTGTGGCACCACATTCTGAGCATGGGCAATATTTCGCGATGTCATCAAATATTACTACTTTTCAGCACAGTCCTTCTAATTACTTTTCCAGATTCCCTTCAACGTGGGTCGTTTTGTGATGTTCGGCTTTCAATTGTTGACTGTAGATCGACTCGAAAAAAATACGTTTTCGGTCCACTTCATCCCAATATTATTATCTGATCATCACCAAAAATTATAGGCGTTGTCCTTGACCATACCTGGATACTAGTGAAAATTTTCAAAGCGATGAGCGCTGTATTTCCACCCTCTAGTGTGGTAACTGGGTTACTAAATAATATCTGAGTACGTAAGCACCTGTAAACATTTAAGTGTAACTCCAACATCCGACAATAAAATTGGAATCAATTTAAAGGTCGACCACTCCTCTCGGGTATAGCATCAATTTCCCGGGTCAATATCCTTCAAGGGTAAATCTATACGCTATAGGATACAAATTTTGTCATTTTTCACACAAAAGTCAGGGTCCACTTGACCCGCTAAATATTGACCGATCTTTATCTAAACAGGCATGCTTATCATTTGGCCCGAACCCCTTCTCCATGAAAAAATTCACAGTGTTTGCGCGTAATTGCGGCCTCTGGAGCAACCAGAAAAACCGACAAAAATAAAGTTTTTGGTCCATTTCATCCCCTAAATATTAACCGCTTTTTTCCAAAAAACAATAGGGGTCTTCATTGGCCACAACCCATTCTACATGCAAAATTTCGTGAAGATTGGTCCATAACTGTGGCCTGTATCGTGTTCACAAAATATAATGGACGGACGGACACACATGTCACGATCGGTATACTTAATGGTGGGTCTAGAGCCAATATTTCGCGGCGTTACAAATATTATACGTTTTCAAAATACTAATTTGAAACATAGCTTTTAAAATGGTGATCGATATTTTTCATGCATCTGCAACTCTTTAATGATAACCAATAATGTGGACTTATGTCTTCTTATATTTCTTCACTTTATAAATATTTTGAATGCTAAAAGCTAACCATTCATTGTTCTTGTTTTTTGAATAGAATTTATTTACTAATGACACGAAAATGTCACCTCAGCCTGTGATTTATTATTAAATTTAATATTCATCGAGTCAAATCCTAATATTAAACACAAGTCTAAATACCGATTTTTTGTTCATTTCTTTGGGTCGACATAAATCAAAATCATTTAATATCAATAGAAATCTATATAAAATACGCATCTGTTATACTACGATTAAGGCTGCCTTTTGATGATTGAACGATCATATATATATGAAGATAAATATTCCAATTTTTATTTTCAATATGTTTGTTTAGATATTTTTGTCAAAAAGAAACAGAATTTTAATTTGTAGCGGAGGCTTTGTTTGTTATTTTTCTTTTAACTAAAGATTCCGAGGTTAATTTGTAGAGCATAGAATAGTGATTGTTTAATATCAACCACATAAATGTTAATTTGAAATTCTTGTGTTTTGAGAACCCACATTTGCTAATTAAATATCGATTAGTTGTAATTAATCGATGTGATATATACAAACGTTTTTTTTTTCCTGCAAATGTGAAATGTCATTATTAATTTCCAACTGAAAAATTTAGAATACCTGCACAAATATTATTGATTAATGAATGGAATATTGGCTTAACAGATTAAATAAATATTTACGTTAACGAGCATAGTTTTAAAATTTCGAAATGAAAAATGATTGTCCGAAATGTTGACAAATCGGTCTATATAGAGTTATGACGTATGTATGGAATTTGTACAGCTTTGTATGATATAGGATCAAATGTTCAATTAATTTCAAAAAAATTCGTATCATTCTTTGAAATTAGGATCTTCAACGCACCTTTATTGGTTGTGCCTTTAGATACTATTTCTAAACATGGATCTCAATAGAAAAGTTTCTGACAAAATCTGGACCTTTGTATAAAACTATGTCAAAACAGAGATCTATATAGAAAATTTTCGGAGCCGAAGTTTTTGACCTTCTAAGAAACCGGAATGCCAATTTAACGTCCTCTTCAGATGAAAATGAACTGACATATCCTTTTCCAAAGTAAATAACAAAAAGTGCCAGGCAACACATAGTTTATACTAAGCCAGAAGTATATACATACGAGTATACTGGCTTTCGTTTTTCAAATTTGAATAAATTAAGAAAACCATTTTTACTGCCTCCCCCTCAAAGTAAAACATCAGTACATTACAGGATCTAGGACAATATGCAACACTACATCCTATGTTATACTGAAACACATCAAACACACGCTTCCCATATGTTTACCTTCAACTTTAAATAGGTTACAATGAACCCTTGTTTTTTCGAAGAGAACATTGACTCTCTTTACATTAAAGTGCAATCATATGCGACTCTTAATCGTATTACCTAACCTTGTTGTGATAGGGACATATTTGGTTAGTCGTAAGATATGTACCACAAACTCATTATACCCAACACAACTATGTTGTCAGGGTATTATAGCTTTGTGCAGCCCCAAGAGTTTGTAACGCCGCGAAATATTGGCCCTAGACCCACCTTTAAGCATACCGGTCGTCATATCTTGACTAGCTGAGTCGATCTAGACATGTGTGTCCGTCCGTCTGTCCATTATAACTTGTAAACACGATACAGGCCACAGTTATGGACCAATCTTCACGAAATTTTGCATGTAGGATGGGTTCTGGCCAACGAAGACCCCTATTGTTTTTTGAAAGGACAAGTTAATATTTAGGGGGTGAAATTGACCAATAAATTTATTTTTGTCTGATTTTCTGGTCGCTCCACAGGTCGCAGTTATGGTCCGAACATCGTGAAATTTTACACGGACAACGGGATTGGGCTAAGGAATAAGCATGCCTGTTTTGATAAGAATCGGTCAATATTTAGCGGGTCAAATGGACCCTGACTTTTGTGTGAAAAATTAAAAAAAAATGTATTCTATAGCGTATATATTTACTCCTGAAGGACATAGAGCCGGGAAGTTGATAGTATATCCAAGAGGAGTGGTTGGGCTTTAAATCGATACCAATTATATTGTCGTATATGCTCGGATGTGGGAGTTACGCGTAAATTTTTACAGGTTCTTACGTATTAATATATTATTTAGTAACCCATTACCACACTAGAGGGTGGAAATATAGCGCTGATCGCTTTGAAATGTTCCGTGGGGTTCCAGTTATAGTCAAGTACAACGCCTATAGTCATTTTGGGATGAATTGGACCAAAAACTTGTATTGTATTTTGTATTTTTTTCGAGTCGATCTATAGGCCACAATTGAAAGCCGAACACAATACAACCCACGGTGAAGGGAATGTGGAGTAGTCATTAGAAGGGCTGTACTGAATATAAGTAATATTTGTTGACCTCTAGTCGGCCAAAAACGTGCAAATATCGAGAAATTTTACCCAAGCTCAGAATGTAGAACCACACAAAGTTAGATTTTCGTGGAAGTTTTGTATAATATGGTCGGCCCCATCCGAGTATACTGTTGTAAAAATAGTGCCTATAGAGGAAATCTGAGTACTAGAGTTGACAGTCATAGGCGTGATTTTCAAAGAGACTATGAGAGCCGTAGGCGTGGATTCTTTATTAATTTTTCAAAAACTATGATACTCATAGACGTGGATTATACATTTTTCAGAGACGTGGATTATAATAATTTTCAGAGACTATGACTATCTGGGTTATCTTGAAGTTTTTCTTTAAGCCAAAATGACTGCAATAAATTTTCTGTGCCGCCATTTTTGCATAGTACCCATCAAGGAGGCAGTAATTTGGCATTCCGATTTCTTGTAGGGACTTTTACCTCTTGAAATAATTCTAAAATTCCGTTGGGATGTATCTTCGAACAAAAAATTTCTTCATTCGAAAAATGTACGAAACTCTCAAGTCGGCTT